TATATATGTTTGTACAAATTTGATCGGGGTTAATCCTTATTAATAAAACGAGTTTGTTTGTTTGTTTGTCTGTTTTTTTTTTCTCTTTTTACAAATCCGAATGGCAATCAATTCCGAACTAAAAATTAAGTCTCTCACTAATTATAACACAAATCAAAACTCGATGAAATGACAAAACTTGATAAAATAGACACAAAAGAAACGTAAGACAGAGCAATACCAGTCGATCACCTGGTCGGTCACTCATTGGAAATGCATTCCGGTGATAAAAACTTGATAGTACGGGTATAGGACAGAATACCAGCACACAATATAACAGAACAACTTACGAATTATCGGAACAAAAAAACCAAACAAACAAAAAGCAAAGTTCCTGCTCTTTTTTTTTTTTGGTTTTATTATTTTTTCCTTTGTAGTTTAAACACTAGCTTCAGATAGACTCGTTGTATTAGAAGACTTTTCTTTTATTTTATTGCTTTGTAAAACAATGATCGGGGTTGGATCCACCAGTTTGGATGATCTCCTCGCATAATGTGTGATGAATGGCGTCTGATGAATGGTAGCATTGTACAGGACTTAAAACTGTGAATACCTGCTCTTACATTCGTTCTTGAATCGGATAATGACCCACAACCAGACAAATATGTAAAATGCAACTCGATAACAGGAAAACAAAATGAAAACAACTCGAAAATACTAAAAGACACTTGGTACAAATAATACTCAAAACATAGCCGCAACATGCTAGGACAAAGGGCCAGCCTTTGCTGCATCTGCACTGGTTTGGGCCACCACCTAGACCCGGCCGGGCTTCAAAAAGAGGTCGGTCAGTGCTACGTAGTTGTCATGCACTGCTCCTTCTATGCCACTAGTTTATTGCTTCGATCTTTCTTTTCAAGTTTTTTTTGTTGATTTTAATAAAAGTAACTTCGATTTGTATAAGAGATTTGGAGAACTTTAAGTTTGAAATCAATGAAATTAAAGTTGTAAGCACTGAAAATTTCTTTTTGGTCCAAAAATGGTCTAAGTTGTAAAAGGTAAATTTGAACAAAATCAACTTTTATCAAAACTTCTCAAAAATCATTTTCGAAAAGGATCACCACTTGACACGAACGGAATCAATCCTTAAGATGTATAATGCTGGATCAAAAGATCATAATTGCCCCTCGATTGAATACCACTACTCTGCATTGTACCTAGTTTTTCTCTCAGAGTAAAGATCATAACCGAACCCTCAGGTAAATAACAGATAAAGATGACTTGATCAGGAAAATGGACAGGACAGGTGAGCTGGAATTGATTAAAACCAAACTTCAGGATGAAGTTGCCTATGTATCCCGAAGATGGGAATCAAGCCTTATGTAGTTCGGTTCAAGTTCACTCGAGTATTAGCTCTCTCCTTTTGCGCTCTAACTTTTGCCAAGGTTGCCCTTTAGGGTTTTCAACCTTGTGAGCTCAGTTTTTCTTTATTTCTAATTTTTTATGCTCTAACTTTTGCCTAGGTCGCCCTTCTGAGTTTTCGGCCTAGCGAGCCTCTCAGGGATAGTATTTCTTCAACTTGTCCATGTTGATCGGTTAGGAAAATTCCAGACCATCTAAGTCCATGAGAATGACTGCTCCTCCTGACCAGATAGACTTGATGATGTAAGAACCAGTCCAATTGGGTCTGAACTTGCCCCTAGGGTTATGGATGGGAGCTTGGTTGTTTTCGAACACCAGATCTCCTTCCTTGAGATTCCTAGACTTAGCATTCTTGTTAAAAGCCTTAGCAATTCTGCATTGGTAGCCCTGTACATGATACAATGCCTTCAGCCTTCTTTCATCAAACAACATTAACTCCTTAAATCTACTCTGTTGCCAGTCAGCCTCTACTATTTGACACTCAGCCATAACCCGCAGTGATGGTACTTCAATTTCAATTGGCAGAACATCTTCCATACCATAAACAAGAGAATAAGGAGTTGCCCCTGTAGACGTCCGAATTGAAGTTCTATAGCCTCAAAGTGCGAAGGGCAATTTACCTGGCCAGTCCCTATAGGTCTCAACCATCTTCTGCAAAATATGTTTGATGTTCTTATTGGCAACCTCAACAGATCCATTAGTTTGCGGTTGATATGTAGATGACTTATGAAAAGCCACATTGTATTTCTCTAACAAGTCTATCACCTCCTTCTTGAAGTGGGAGCCATTATCTGATATAATCTCATTTGGGACTCTGTATCGACAAATGATGTTGTTTCTGATGAACTTAGCCACATGCGCTGCTTTCAACACTACATAGGACTGGGCTTCCACCAACTTTGTAAAGTAATCAATAGTCACTAGAATGTATTCATGCCCGTTTGACCCTTTCAGTGTGACTGGGCCGATGACATCGATTCCCTAGACTGAGAAAGGCCATGGCGAAGTCATGTTATATAGTTTTGACGGCGGGATATTCATGCAATTAGCATGAATTTGGCATTTGTGGCATCGCCGAACAAAACCGATGCAATCCTCCTCCATGGTGGATCAGTAGTAACCTTGCCTGAGAATCTTCCGGGCTAACATTACTCCGTTCATGTGCGCTCCGCACTCTCTCCCATGGATGGCCTCCATTAGGCGCTTCGATTCCTCTTTCTCGACACATAACTTGTGCATTCCCAGATGTCCTCTTTTGTACAGTTTGCCTCCGCAGATGATAAATTGAATGGCCATTCACCGTATTTCCCGTTTGTCCTTGGCATTTGCCACCGGTAGATATGCCTCCTTTTCCAAGACTTTCTAGATATCGAAGTACCAAGGATTTTTGTCTTGCGCTTCATCTATTACGGTGATAGTTTCATAGGCCGGCATGTATTTCTACTCAATGAGGATCAGACGCATCCGGACTCTAAACGGGATGTCTAGTATGGAAGATAGAGTTGCTAAAGTATCAGCGAACCTGTTGTTCTCTCTCAGTAGATGCGTGAAAGTCAGCTTTTCAAACCTAGGAATTAGAATGTCTAGGGTCTGGTGATAGACCTTCATCTTTTCTTCCTTGAGTTTCCAGTCTCCATTTGCTTGAGAAACAACTAAGTTTGAGTCTCTGATAACATCCAACCTTTTTGCCCCTAGTTCTAGGGCAGCTCTTAAACCAGCAATACATGCTTCACATTTTGCTTCGTTGTTGGACACTTTGAACCGAAGTTTGAAAGCTAAAGGTATATGGGAGTCGTCAGGTGCTATCAGTAACACACCGATTCCATAGACATACTGATTTGATGCTACGTCAAAGTACATTGTCCAAGTCTCCTTCTCAACTTGCAGAATGGCTTCATCTGGGAAGAGGCATTCTACCGCTTCGTCCCCTTCTACCGAGTGATCTGCCAGGAACTCTGCTACCGCTTTCCCTTTGACCGACTTGCGAGTAACATACTTCATATCAAATTCGGAGAGAAGAAGCAACCAACGAGCTAACCTACCCATAAGCACTGGTTTCTCAAAGAGATATTTGATAGGATCTAATCCTAAAACCAGAATTACGGAGTGAGCTAATAAGTAGTGCCTCAATTTCCTGGTAGCTCATACCAAGGCTAGGCAAGCTTTCTCTAGCGCGTTGTAGTGGGTTTCGTAATCCAACATTTTCTTGCTCAAGTAATAGATGGCTTTCTTTACCCTAGCCTCAGATTCTTGAGCAATCATGCGTTCCATTGTGGTGTCTGTTACTGAAAGATACAAAAGCAAAGGCTTCCTCGGCTCTGGCGTCGACAACACAGACAGATTTGGGAGGTAATGCTTGACTTGCTCAAAAACGAATTGACATCGATCATCCTATTGGAATTTCTTCCTTTTCTTCAAGAGACCAAATAGTGGTTCACAAGTTAAGGTTAATTTGGAGATAAACCATCTTATGAATTACACTTTACCCAGAAAGCCTCGCATCTCCTTTTCAGTCCTTGGTGGTGGCATTTCTAGGATGGCCTTGATTTTGGAAGGATTTATGTGTGATAAAAAAGCCAAGCATTTTCCCTACCGTTACACCAAAGGTGCATTTCTACGGGTTTAACCTCAATTTGTATTCCTTGATCCGTTGAAAGAATTTTTCCAGAGCGGTGTAGTGGCCCTCTCGGTCTTTGGACTTGACTATCATGTCATCCACGTACACTTCGACCTCTTTGTGGATCATATCATGTAGAATAGTGGTTGCAGCCCTCTGATAAGTAGCCCCATCATTTTTTTAGCCAAATGGCATGACTCGATAGCAATACGTTCCCTACGGCGTAGTAAATGCAGTTTTCTCTCTGTCTTCGGGAGCCATCAGAATCTGATTATATCCGAAAAACTCATCCATGAAGGAAAACAATGCATGGCATGCGGTGAAGTCTACCAACTCATCAATGTGCAATAGAGGAAAGTCATCTTTCGAACTGGCTTTGTTTAAGTCCCGGAAGTCTACATAAACCTGAATTTTGCCATCCTTTTTCGGCATTGGGACGATGTTGGCTAACTAGGTTGGATGCTCAGATACTAACAAGAAACCTGCCTCAATCTATTTGGTGACCTCTTCTTTGATCTTTAATGTCCAATCCGGGCGAATTCTACGTAACTTTTGCTTGACTGGTCGGACATCAGGGTCAAGAGAGATCTAGTGCTGTATGATCTTAGGATCGATTCCAGGCATGTCTTCGTAGGACCATACGAAAACATCTTTGAAATCTTTTAATAAAATGACTAAGTGTTCGCGTTTCTCCAAAGACAACGTGGACTCGATCTAGACCATGCGTGGATCCTTCTTAGTAGCCACATTAATGGCAATGATTTTATCAATACAGGGTTTAATATACCTCTCCTCCACTTGATTAATTAAGTTTTTCAAAGCTAGAAGAATTTCTTCCTCTTCGTTTTCATTAAAAGTTTGAAAATCTTACTTAATGCAATAAATAAGCAGCACAGAGAAGTACTCAAAATCTGCAGAGTTCTCATTCAACAGGTTCACCTCTTCGGTTACAACAGACTTAAAAGCAAAAGAAAAGAAAGACCTAGACAGGACCTTGGCATCTAGGTTACCACCCCCGAGAATGCCAGACTCAGACCCCTTAGACTGACTTGAATCTGATCTCGACCCCACAAACTCTGTGGAATCAGATTCTAGCTCATCATCCGATTCAGAACTGGAAAGGTATCCTTTCTCCAGTTGCCAAGTAAGAGATGGTGCCCCTGATGCTTCCAAAATGCCATTGGTTGGGTTCATACCCGGTTTTTCCCTGATTATGGAGATGGTAAGGTTATCTCCCAAGCTCTCTAAGTCGACCGGAGGATCTGAAAGGAGACATGCCAGTGTTGCCTCTACTCCAAGCTCGCTATTGTTGGAGTCACTTTCTATGCCCTATTCAGTTTTAGGACTCGGTTCAATCTTTTCCTTGGCATCACTCTCTTGCAACTGCAGATCGAAGAAAATTTCAAAGCTGGGGACATGTTGCTTTGCAGAATTCATCTACGGCTCGGGAAAACCGCAAGAGAGGAAATCCTCTCCCTCCTGAACAAAGTGACCATTTAGTGTTCCATGGATCGGCTTGTGAACGAGCTCATAGTGTTTCTCGGCGTGTTTGGCTATAACTCTGCTTGTTATCTCTTCTATTTTCCTGACGCAATCCTCTGGTGGGTACATAGCCAAGACCAAAGGCATGCGAATTATGCGTCACATCGGCCAATGTTGTGATGTCCTTCTGGCCACTTCTTCCAAGTCCCATTCCTGGCATATGTTGTAGTTTGTTCATGAGATAAGCAGATTGGGCACTAACATACATACCCTCATCTACTGCCAAGATGGTTTGCACTAGTCGGGCCTCAGCCAGACTAAACCCTAAGAGGAATAAATCTTCCTTACCATGGTCAATTTCTAGCATTGGTGTGGTTACCTCTGATGGTGGATGGATAGATGAGTTCCCGAAGACAATTGCTACCCCCTTTCCGTGAGGGTATTTCAGCATTTGGTAGAGGGTAGAAGAGATTGCTTTCACAAGGTGTAGCCAGGGTCTTTTTAGCAGTAAGTTGAAGGTGGTCAGGACGTCTAAGACATGAAACTCGATGTCCTGTTGAGTTGGGCCAACCTGAACTCGGATTTGTACTGTGCCCATCACTTCTTTGCTCGTGTTATCATATGCCTGAATCACTTGGGCTGTAGGTGCGAAATCTGCTGGTTTCAGGCCAATGGCATAAGTTATGCAAGACGGATAGACATTGATAGCCGAACCAGTGTCTATTAACACCACTGGTACCCATTTTTCTTTGCACTCAATAGATATGTATAGGGGTTTGTTATGTACTGAGCCTTCCGATGGCAGTTCTTTGTCAGAAAAGGTTAGGGTTGGGCTAACGCCACCTGGGAAGACTAATCCCACAAGTTGTTCAGGGGTGGTGTCAATGGACAATTTAGCTTTGTCCATTACTGACAATACAACCTGTCGATGTATTCGGGAGGCCATAAGAAGACCCCAAATTGAAATATCGGCTTATAATTTCTTCAGTTGTTTCAGCATTGCCTCATCTTCCAGCTATTTTTCTTTCTACTTCTTAACCTCTCCATCTTTCCCTGAGGCCTTAACTTGGTCTAAGTGTGGTGGTTTGTAATACCGCTCACTTCTTGTCATGTGATCAATCTCCTCAGTGTACCACGTGTTGTCTGGAAGGTACTCACCCCAGCCTTCATTGGTGTGAGCCAGGTATAGATCGTCATCCCCCCACCATACACCTTCGGCAGCTGACAAACAGTTGTCTAGCTCCTTTGCAAGGTGTTGAGTCATTACAGCTTTTTGCTTGTCTTCCATCCTTTCTCGTTCAAACACAGCTTCATGTTCTGTGTCCGCAGTATGCATAGTACCCAGTCCCTAAGCTGAATTTTTCTCACCGGTACTTTTCAGTAATTTCCCCTTTTCATTGGCCATTCTGGCTACTGCAACAATTCTTGCTCCATTTTTCTCCAATTTTGTTTCAGTTCCTTCCTTCCTGTCAGGTTCATCACTTAACCACCCAAAGTTGTCCGTCGACCTATTGAAATCGAACCAGTCAATCTGTACATCTCATTTTTCTTGTTCGTCAAAGAACTGCAGGTTGTCTAAGTCCACCTCAAACTCCGTCAGATCATCCAAACCTTGGCTGGGGCCATCCTCCTTAACCACATTAACCTCTGCTATAATTGGCAATACCACTTCCGGCTTGGCTTGATTAACCGGCATAATGTAGTGACACGGATCATACCCCTCTTCAAACAAGTTCTTAGAGTACTCAGGCAACGAATTCGTACTCTCCTTTAAGGTCGGCCTCCCTTCTACTGCACCTGTCACTACCACAGGTTTAGGTGGAAGTGTGGATGTGTTTATCATACACAAGTCCGTGCTTTTAGGAATGAACACCGTCGGTCTGGGTAGGTGGGAAGGGGTAACATATACGCTGGGGTCATAGGGAAGGGCCAGTGTATGGATTAGGTTTAGGTTCCGAGGTGGGAGAACTTGATTGTGGGCCGGAAGAGGGTTTGTAATTGTATTTGGTTTCTCGGGTGGTGCGATCACCTTGTTGTCAATGAGGTTTTGAATCTCATGACGCAGTCAGAAGCATTGGTCAGTATCATGACCGTGTTGTTGGTGAAACACAATATTTTGCTGGGTTGTGTTTGGGTAGAAGAGGATCAGGCAGTAGGCGAGGTTCTAACGGTCTGAGGTGCCCCTTTTTAATCAGCACTTTCATGGCTTGGAATAGGGTTATGTAGAGTGAGGTAAAGGTCCTCTGGGACTGGACATGGTTGGCTGAAGGTTGTGGAGCTGTATTGGCAAAGGGATTGGCGGTATTGGTTGTGGTGACAACACTTATATCTGATGGCCTCGCAACTGTGATACCACTGACAGCATTGGAACTGCGAACAAACGACCTTTTGGTTGGCTCTTTATCATCAATAATGAGCCCCTGCTTCATAGCATCTTCAATCTGAACCCCCATTTCATGGAGCTCTGAGAACGTGGATAACGGAAGAACAATCATTTTCTATAATAGCTTGCCTTGGAGATTTCGGACGACCATCCTTATCTGATCCTTCTTGGAAGGCCTCGTGGTCATCATCGAGGCTTTAGCTCTCCACCTTATTATAAAATCATAGAAACCCTCATTCAGCTCTTGACGTGTTGCTTCGAGATCACGAGTTGTGACCTCAATTTGGGTATTGTAAGAGTACTGAGCCATGAAGGCTTCGGCCAATTCCTTCCAATTCTGTTTCACTGAATCTTCCAACTTAGCATACCAGATGGCCGCTATACCTGACATGGTACGACCAAAAAGGGATAACTTCTGCAATCGGGTCAAGCCCATGGGTCGCAAAATATCAGAGAACAAACGCAAATGCACCATTGGGTCGTCGGAACCATCAGTCAATTTCAGTTTTTGAAGTTTAAAC